TATGTTAATTTGCAAACAGTGAAATAAAACAGCTATAATGATATGGCTTTCCTTGGTTATATTTTTTCAAGGGTTAAACAAATAGACACATCATCAATACAAAACGTAACGAATACTACTTTTGATTTCTAAAAATACACAAATGCATTTAGAGGTATACATATACATATTTCATGATTCAAAATTTCAAATACATATCAGCATATATATTTGTTTTAGATACAGCGTCTTTAAATTCGTAATATGTTTTGAAAGAGCAACAATACGAGTAGACATTCTTAATGACTGTTCTTGAAGGCGTTTATTTACATTGTGACTGTAACGTATACGTATTTTGAAAGTCAATGAATTTATTAGTCTGCTATTTCAATAAATTACTCTATAACCTTTAAGCTTTAGATTTCTTATTATCAATATTATAGTTCAAGAAATATATTTATTTAACTTCTCTTTGTTCAGTTTCTTAACAGAGCAAATATTAAAACTGAAATATAAGAATCTAGATTTATTTATAAAATAAACTTGTACAAATTAGCTAAGGAACTCGTTTACACAACATAACGAGAAAAATCTAATTTGCTGTTTAAATAAAAGAGGTCGAGTAAATACCATCAGCGAGGAATTAATACTGTGAAACTTATTCTTTTAATTTTGTTTCCTCAAATAAGATCCATTAAGATAATTCTTTGTTAAATTCTTTGTCATTTAATTTTTATCTTAATACTCGTATTTTATTTATTTATACACAGAAATATACAATAATGGAGTTCATATTGCATGGAGTTATTTCTAAGAAAAATCTCTTTCAAAGAAAAACTAAAAAGACAAATAAGTATACATATGTATATGAATAATAACACTACATTCCAGGCAGTAAAAATATAGAGTATTCGTAGATAAAACATAGAAAGAACTGTGAAGGTTTTTGGAAAAAATAATGTCGTAGGAGTTTTGACTTCCACATAAGGATGCTCACGGCGGCAACTAGATAAACGAGAATGGAATCGATCGACATCGATGTATGGAAAGAAAAAAATAAAAAATATTTTATAAAAGCAAAGGACGCTATAGGACGTGGTTAGTATATGCATATTGTACTTGATTCGAGAGAAAGCCTTTTGAGCTGCGTCGAAAACCAGATAGTTGCTCAAATCGAAGATGAATCATACCCAAAAAAAAGGCCAATATAGTATAGAGATGACAACAAACGCGGTTGTCGTGGTAAATTTTAGTATCATCATCAGCCTATCAGAGCCCACTGCTGAGCAAAGGCCTCTTTCTCACATGGAGAAGATTTGAGCATTAATCACCACGCTTCTCAAGACGGGTTGGTGATTTTAAACTTTTAATTGTGAAACTATAAGTCCAGGTTTCCTCACGATGTTTTCCTTCACCGTATGTCAGTGATGTCTAAATACTCTCAGAAAGTACATATGACTCCGAAAAATCCCATTGGTACTGGCCAGGTTTGAACCCGCGACCTCAGCAATGAGAGGCGGACCCTTTAACCACTAGGCCACCACTGAAATTGTGGTTAAAGATACTTTATTTTCTCAAAAAGAAATTACATTTCACTTATTTGAGAAACTTATGATTATAAACATATATTAACTTAAAACTTCGACACTTTAAAACATATCCTCAAAGCAACAATAATTGTGTATAAAACAGCGATAAGAAATGCAAACTCATAGACACAGAGTAACAAAAACAGTTAGATCATTAGTTATTTATTTCATACTTTATTCTTATTATATTTAACTTACTTAATATTTATTTTTTTATATTTTTTTTTTGTGCATTAGCTTATATTAGTTATATTATTTTAATAATGTATTGTCATTTAGTATATGTTTTTTCAGTTTAAATTTAAAAATGTTGAATGAATTTGCATTTTTTATCTCTTTAGGTAATTTATTATAGATTTGTACTCCAGCAAAGATCACGGTGCGCATACCTAAAGCGGTTCGGACTTGAGGTAATAGGATATGGTCTCCCCTTCGGCTACTACGGGTGTGAGCCTGATGAACTTTTGTGAAGGAGATTTGTGAATTAATTGATTTATTCAGGATTTTTCTTATTAATATACAAGTGCCATATGCGTGTAATTGTTTTATATTCATGAGCTTTGTCTCCTTATACAATTTGACTGTAGGTGTTAAGTAATCGTAATTAAATAACATTTTAATGATTTTATTTTGTGAAATTTGTAAGTCCTTTAAGTTGCTTTTTGGAGCAAAGCCCCAAATTTCAATTAAATATTTTTTGAACTTTTAATATGTTAGTATTTTAAGATAGAAATTTTTTTATAAGAAAAAGGAATTGTATAAATAGATGAATCGACTAGTTTGGTAACTTGTGAATCCTGTGAAATATAATAGTCAATAATTACTGTAAGGTAACATCGTCCTAAATAGGTATGTTAGATGTACGATCTTTTTATGTTACCTTTTTTCTTAAATCTCCTACCAATAAAAATTGTTTAAGATTTTTAGGCATTCACAATCATACTAGAAAAGCCAACCCTTTTCTTGATCATAGAAAAATCTATTTGATTAATGTAGTAAGGCTGCATACACATAAGGTTGAAAATAATCTGCGTGAGGATGTTATGAAAAAGTTTTTATTTAGATGATTTCATCAACAACAATACAAAAGATAAAGTACGCCCTGGGAACACCAGAGTTAAAAAAAACCTCAATCAGATGATGAGTCACGCATTGGAGCAAACATTGTTGAAATTTTTAGAAATGACATTATATTCTTCAATTTCAAGTAATAAAATTTAAGTAAAAAATATTTTGCAAAATCGCAAAAAACTGTCGCGAATCAAAACTTCATAATTTATTGTTTTAGTAATCAATAAATGAGGGTTTTTTTTGGAAGAGTAATCGCAATACCATGAACAACAATTCAAACTTTAAGGTCAACATTAAACGTATTAATCAAGAAAGCAATAAAAAATTGTATCGTAGCTTTATCGCTGATATTATGATATTTTACTGTGATACTGTAATGGTCTCTTCGCGTGTTCTGTCTGAGAATGGCAGGAAACTATACTCAGATAACATCTTCACTGGAACGTTAGCCTTTAAATAACATCTTTATATCAGAGAGTAAGTGTTAGATAAGATTTTAGTTGTCGTTTTGATCACCGCTTGTAATAAATTATAAATGGTATTAGAAAAATATTACCAGAATTTAGAACCAGCGAAACAGAGACGAAACTTTGCCATGTATTCACCGTGCGGGTGTCGGGTCCATCGTTGCAGAGAGAAGAGCTTCAATAGTGCCTGGGATTTGAGACCCAGGTGTAGATTTAAAGGGTAACTATCTACCAACAATTAGAAGAATGGTAATGAAAATTTCTCCTGAAATGAAGTTTGAGCTATTCCAGTTCTATAAGCGTGTTGAGAAGAATTTTCGTTTCATAGATTTCTAAATACCTTCATGAAAGTGTAGATCTTTGTTCTTTGAAGTTAGATGATTGATAAGCTTTTAGAGATTTTTTTTATACTGCCGTTGTACACGATTTATTCAAGCTGTAAATAATATTTAGAAACTAAAGATATTTCCTTTTTTATTCTTTAATCTTTTCGCATTTACAAAGAAAAATATAAGGAATTTATATCTTTGGTTTAAAATTGTCTGAAATGTTGCTATTTAGATAAAAAAAAAACATAACACCGATATAAAATAGATATTATTTGAGTGAATACATTTAAATTATAAATTATTGAATAATCTAGGTGCCATCGAATAAGTTTATTAATTAATACAATTCTATTTTGATTTTAAATAAATGAGTATATAAATGAGTACTTTTTTTTGTTACTCATGAAAAAAGATAACAATCACGTGAAAACAACTCTACATATAAGTTGCATATGACCAAATTTATTGTATTATACTCGTAACTTAGCAGGTGCTGCCTCTTACTCAACACATTTGTCAGTACGTAGTATTAAAACAGAAATTTAAACGCGAAATATTATTCATAGTCATTGTTACGACTCCTTGTACATCCTCCTCGAATGAGATGTCTTTCTTTATATCTTTCGTTCTGCGTGTAAAAGCCTCATTAAACCTGACTGCCATTACTGAGATTAGCTCAGTTAAAAAGGAGAGGAATAATATGAAAAGATATTTATTTAAGTATACGCTTTATGATATTATACTGTGGAAGTTTTAATAATTTAAATTGTGAGCATTGTTGGAAAAGTTTTAAAGTTTTTATATATCTAATATATAGCTATTTATTTTAAAGGTACTTTTGACAGTGACGTCAATTGAAAAATATCTCAATGAAAGTATACTCAAATTTATGAATGAAGAAAAAAAGAAAAGATCTGAACCATTGAAAACAATTGAAATCAATTTAGGATTAAACTAGCTTTCAAATAAAAAAAAGCATGTGAACAGTTTAAAGCGGTTTTCAATGTTCTAACAAATATTTGTACAAACAAAAGTAAAACTTACGAGTTTTCGTAAAAAGAAAAAGGAAGTTTGTTTGAATTTTACTACTCTATAGTAAAAGATCAAAAAATATTTTTGATTTATCACTATCAGATCCAAATAAAACAATAGTGGCCTCTTTTTTGTATATTATGAAAAATTCCCTATATTTATAATTTTTATGTTCTTTACAAATCTTACAAACTACGAATAAATAATTATAATACAATTTTATTTACATTGATTTCAATTTACTTATATAATATTATATTACAAATATCAGTTTAATATATAATATACAAGCAACACTAACATTTTTAGTATTTTTTACACCAAAAATAAATATAATTATTTTTTCCTCATAATGACGTCATCGTTGATCAAAAAAATTTTAAAGAATGGATTGTGCATTTTTATATTAAGAACCTATGTATAAAAACAAATATTTTATACATGGAATAAATATCATCTTTTAATTAGATTCTTCCAATAGTAATCTTTAACATTAACGTGTCAGAATCTTATAAAGACTACAATCCAATACATCAAGATTCACAAGGCAACTGCTGGTATCTCAGGCAGGCTCCCAAATTGAGATCCGGGTTCTGTTTGGGGGTCGGCGGACCGAAGTGTACGGAGACCGCGAACGGTGTCACTGAGGACTCAACCGAACAGCCAGAGCCGGACTGACCCGCGCACAGTGAGGACCCACACCTATGAGGGTCACACACACCCATTGACCACGACGGTGACTGGAACAACAATTTCATTTTACTTTATAGGTGATGTTTTGTATATATACGTCTTTTAGTAAATGATATTAAGGTTAAACTCGAGAAACAACACTATATATAAAATTAGCTAATAGTTCTTAAGATCCAGAGTTAAAGAGGAATAAAGATTGAGATGAAAACCCTGTTTATCATCAGGAAAAATACTGGGTATGTACTACATAATATATAAATTAGTATAAAAATGTCTCATAATTTCGGTCGAATGAAATAAAATGATAGACAAAACCGACACGTACAAATATATAAATATGTGTGTGTGTATGTGTGTGTGTGTGTGTGTGTATTACTATACGTTTGTTCAACTCTCACCGGCAGAAAGTATTCATTCTCACAGGGTATAGTGATCCTGTCTGTACATCGTCTTCTTCCAAATCCTACTGGTCCATACCCGTAGTAATGAAGCACGTCTTGATGCTGGAGGTACGGAGACCAGCGCCAGGATCGCTGCGAGGAGCCCCAGATATAACCCCAGATCTGTTCATGTTAGCTGTTAGTGGTTATGGGGTCTACTTGGGATCGCATGGGACAAACATACTACTAGGACAACTAGAACAGTTGAAAGAATAATATACTTCAACTATGTGGTATAGTTGAAATTATTGTGTAGAATATAAATAACTATAATTTTCATATTGGATATAATTATTAATTGATCATACGTCAGTTAATGGACTTATTATTGGAAATACAAAGTTTTTGTTAAATACCAAATATTAATATAAGGATATTAATATTTTATACTACTTACATTAATCAGTTTATTATTAGGAATGAACATTTTAGTTTCTAAGAGTAAATAAAACATGCAGGCGAGAGTTTAAAGAGAAGTTCATTTTAGCCATTACAAAGATAATTAATATACGAATAACATGTCTAAATATATATTTATCCATCTATAAGTATTAATAAAAATAATGTTTAATTATACAGTTTAAGATAAATTATATAAATTATCTCATAATAATTGTTAACATAATTTATTAATAACACAAGTCGAGCTAGTTTTCTCCTTCTGGCCAAAATTCGTACAAATTACGGTAAAACATTGATCACTTTTGAAGGTGCAAAACTGTATAATGAACTACCCAAACATATAAAAAATGAAAACTCATTTAACGTATTTAGAAAATAACTTGCTGAGTATTTTTTAAATAGTTAAAAGTATGACAATACGTAAAATTAATCTTCTATATATATAAAAATGGATTGCTGTTCCTTAGTCTCGCTAAAATTCGAGAACAGCTGAACGGATTTGTCTTATCTTATTGTTGAAATGTTCGTGGAGGTTCAGGGAAGGTATAAAAGGTGAGAAAAATTGGAATAATTGCCGGGAAAACCCTAAAAACAGCCCTTTTCTATTTCCCATACAAACGCTTTTTTGACATTAGATTTGACAACTAACTAATATGTCAATCATTCTGTTTGATTGAAACAGGAAAAACCTGATTATTAATGGCGTCTAAAACGGAATAGAGTTCGCCCGGTCAGCTATACATATATTACTAATGACGAAACTAACGCGGACGAAGTCGCGGGCAAAAACTAGTACTTAATATAGATATATCCCTCTTAGTTGAGAGTTATATTTGAAACAACTTCTCATTATTTCTTTTTTGTTACAAATATTATCGAACTGTATATTCATAAATGTTTTGTTATAAGTGTAATATATAAGTGATAATAGCGTCTTAATGGGAATAAAATGTTTTAAACCATATTGTTATAAATGTTTCATTATTAACTCACCCGGCTCACGATACCCGGCCTTGTATTGGTCGAGTCAATAATTTGAGGTTCGGCTCCAGAACCTTCTTCTTCTTCAGAGTCATCAACTGGCATCATGGGTTCAGTTGAACCTGCAAATATATCAAGAACAATAATATTATAATATACATATATTAAATAAAACAGTAAGTAAGATCATATACTAGAGTATACATTCAACATGACTGACACGCAAAAATAGTCGAATAAGTTGATGTAGAATAATGAGTGATTCTTCTTCTTCTACCTGGCAATTTCCCAGCTATAGCCAGGGTCTGCCTTACATATTGTGAATAATTTTGGCTAATTGATTTTACGACCGGCCGCCTGCCTGACATCAACCCTCTTTGGGAATGTATTAATCAGTGATGTCTAAATACTATTAGAAAGTACATATGACGCGGAAAAATCACATTGGTGCTTGCCAGGATCGAACCCGTGCCCTCATGTATGAGCGGCGGACCTTTTAACCACTAGGCCACCACTGACTTACGTCATATACTAGAGTATACATTTAAAATATCTAACGCGAAAAAACTCCAATAAGTTTATGTAAAATAATGAATGATTATCTTTATATCTGAGTTTGAATAAAGTTATATTTGTAACGTTAATTACATTAATAATAACTTATTCAAACCAGACTTAAGACGCTTGACATTTACTGCATTACATAATTTCAGACTTAGAACTTTGAAACCTCCATTTCATTCAAGCTCAGAATATCGAATGAGTTTAAAGAATTCTATATTTTTAGATATGAGTCCCTTTAGGTAGAATAAAGTTTTTTTACTACTGATCAGTCGTATGTTTCAAATAAATTTAAAAGTTTAAAATAATATAGATTTAGTTTTTTATCCTCCAAACTATTATATGAATCCAAACGGATCAATTTAGTTGCATTAATCTGTGAACATGTTTATATCACAAAGGGTGGTTTTTCGATGTTTTTAATATCAGGCCTCCCAACTACAAATTTGTATCCTTATAATGACAAAATAAATGATTATTCGTATACATATATAGAGGGTGTAAAAAGATATTCAACTATGCAATTTTATTCCAATCTCCGTGTTAAAGAATAGATTACTTACATGAAAATGAAGTGACTCAAATAAAAAACGTAAGTTAAAAACTGGCACAATATTGTGAGCAAAACATGGATTAGTGTAAATATAATTGTTACATAATGAAAAGCCTTGTCTAAGGTGACTAAAATAAAAAGATTGAAAAAAAATATGTAGAGCTTCAATTTATATGTAGGTATATAATAACTTACAGAACCTTTATAGAACCCCAAAAATAATTGTTTTCTTTCACAAGACCTCTATATATTTATCATAATTTATTTAAATACATTGTACATACATTTTATTATCTAATGAGATCTAAGACTTTTGCGAGTATTTATCAAAAACAGTAACCGAAACTTCGGGAGTATGTATTATCATCTGTTTTTCCAAAATGTATCATTGCCAAGTATTAATTCCTTTACTAAGAGACTCGTAGAGGTCATATAACCTCCTGCTCGTTATTCTATAAATGATCACAATCTTCATTGCGACGCGGTTATCGTGAAGCCGATAATTAAATCAGGCGTCCGTAACGAACACCTTTTGTACTGATTCAAAGTAATATTTTATTTTTTAACAGAATAAAGTATTGATAAATTCTAATCAATTTATTTCTACATTCAATTCAAACTTATTATTCAATTTTGTAATGAATTGTATGACATTGAGAATGAACCATCACATAATTTTATTAGCGTTATATACTGTTTCGATTTTGGCACTAATTGTTTTCGCATCAATCATTATTTTCTTATACCCATGTTAAATGATATGAAAATATTGTGGCAAAGTGAGTGTTGTTAATGATTGATGGTCGATAAACGAAAGCTTCCTCTATATGAAGCGCGACACCTTTTTGATTCGGTAACAATGTTTTGAAGATATTAACTTCCAAAACAAACAACACGACGGAACGGAAGCGTAAGCTAACAATGTGTAATTAAATATGACTGAAGAGATATCTGATTTAACACAGAATACATCAAATTAAGTTACAAGTCACGCTTTGAGGAACAATTTAATTTCACCACAAACCTTTGGACTGTCGGAAATACCCAAAATTAGTGTGAGCTCATTTCTAAGAAGTACATAAAAAAATCACTATCTCTGATTGGATACAATTCTTTACTTATTATAAACGAGATTAAATTATAACCGAATTTAAACATACTCATCGAAATAAGAACTCAAATTGGAAGAACCAATGTTCTTTAAAAATTTACACAGGAAAATATTGTTTGGTCTAGGAGTGTTTGTCTTTTACACTACCTATAACCTACTTAATTCCTTCTATCTAATACTATTCAGTAAATACTCTTTAATTTTTGTATAGTATCTCAAACAGTATACCATTTGACTGTGTTTGTAGCACTATATTACGTGCTAATTATTAATAGAAGTATTTTTTTATGTCCAAGACAGAATATGACGTACAACTCACCAACGGCGGGGTCCGAGCCAGTATTCGAGGAGCCAGGGTTCGGGTCCGGTCCTATCCTGAAGGAGCGAGAGTCACAGGGTGTGTAACGAACAGAACAAAAACCAAGGTTCCTCCTCACACACGCGCGATACTCCTGTGAGGCGAGGTGACGACCGTTGGACGCGAAGTTGAATGTCTTTATAGTGCCTGGTTAAATATAAGAGATCAATTTACAGGGTTGAACATTGCTATCTTAAAATGACAGGCGTTAGCTTATGTATACAATTAGAAAGATATTTGTAAATATATTTTGTCTATTGTCCATAACTCAATTGGTACGTTAAGATTTTATCAACGAATCATCATAAAAATGGATTTAATAAAAGTTTTATAAAGCAAATATTTATATATACTAAAACATATATTAGAATATTATTTTGAAAATATAACAAAATGAAACAAGATGGTTTTGGAGTAATAGAAAAATATATAACCAAGAAATATAAATTATCTTACTTCGAAAGTATTGAAAATTGAAGAAAACACTCACCATTATTTTCTATGTGATACTGCAAACAGTTGTGAGGACTGGAGTGAGCAAGTGGCATCTGAGCCAACCTCATCAGCCATATCCTGGGCATGTCAGAGCCGCGCATACGAATAACGAGAGGAGTGGACTTGATGCTGGGGAGGTCGCCGACCTCACGAGACTCCTCCGTACTAGGAAGATTGTAGTATACTGGAGGATAGCGAAAGAAATATATAACATACCAAAAATATAGGTATATATCGGAGCTATCAGCTTTAATAACGGATGCGACATGAAAATAATTTGATTCTGTCACAATTGCTGTTAAAACTCATTAGTATTTATGATTATTGTTAAAACTAAAAAGAAATCAAAGATTGTTTAAAAGGAGAATAGAACTATGTTTAAATCTTGGTATAAATATGACGTCTGGTAGCACGACGGCAGAGTTCAGAGTTCAGTTAGTGCGGACCATTGAATAATGTGATTATGAAGAACCTTCGAGAAATACAGCAACATTAAGAACAATTGAAGTTTCATTTTAAAATATCATGGAACGTTCTAGAAGAAGTGACATAAGTGACGTCAGCGAGGCTGGCTCTCTCTTTAAAAACAATGAATTTCTAATAAATCTGATATATACTTATACATAAGTTATAAGGAAAACATATTTCTCAATCAGACTTAAAAATCTCACTTGCAGATCTGTGTTCTGTATCAAAGTAAAAATAAACAAGAAAACATTAAAATCCAAATGACTGAGAATCGTCTTATTATGTTTCATTAACTTACTTTGAAGTCAATGAAATATATTTAAAAAGTTCTAAAACAAAACAAACGACAATCGAAGCGGGAGCCAAATGTAATTTGTTTGATTTGAACATTTCTTTCGTTCTTAAATTGTAATGAACAATACTGAGAATTTGAGATTCAAAGTATCTTGTTGCCTTTTCTATCAAGTAATTGGATTTTAAATGTAAAACGACCTAAAAACGAATCAAGTCACTTATTTAACTTCCTCTTTTAATACAAGACTCGTGTTACTTCAACTGTCTTTGAGCTTATTTTATTAAACATTATAAGAGAGATTATTAAATCTGTATACAATTTAATTTTGTACTAATTCTCGAACATTCTTATATATCTCTTGAAAATGTTATGACGAGTTAAAGAACTAAATATATTAAGTTTCTGTTCCAAAAAAAGAGATTAAAAAAGGACCAAAAACTAAAGAAGATTTCTTGAATTTACTTGTATGGATTACTTTAGGTAGAAACAAAACATTTCAATGGATCCCGTTTAACATATTTACAATATATCGATTCTCAGCAAGTATTTCTATATAGGATTCACTTGCTATGTAAAACAGCTATGAATATACAATGTGCTCACCGTGCTGTCCGTGGTTCTGTCCGCATAATGTAAAGTTGGAGTCTCCCTCTCCTAGTATCATGACGTCCTCGTCACACGCCCCCGTAGTTCTATTGGGTTGACCCTATTAAAGATACATTACATATTAATAAAACACTTCTTTACAATCACTATGTTATAACATACTAGTTTTTACACGCGACTTCGTCCGAGTTAATTTCGGAACTGATAATATATGTATGGTGGAATAGAATTCGCCCGGTCAGATGACGAGGCCATAAATAACCAGATATTTGAAATTTTTTTTTTTCGATCGAACAAAATTAAATATCCTATATCCGTCTCCTGATTCTAAGCTATTTCCCCGACAATTTTCAACATCCCTAGATCCGTTCTTAAGTTATAAATAGTGTAATTAACACAACTTTCTTTTTTATAATATGTAGGTAACTAAAATGACATTTATATTTAAAATCTTTATTATTCTCTTTAATTAATAGTAAATTTTAATTTATATTTTTTTACATTAGAATCTTCTTGAAATACATTTATTTGAAACAAAAATTATATTCTCTAATAAACAAGCCTAAAGACATGTTTACTGTACATACACAGAATTGCCTCCAGGCAGTGTATATTTAGAAAAAAGGGTAGAAGTTGACAAATATATTTGAGAGAAGTCGAATTTGAAACTAGTGTATTTTAAAGGAAATCCAAAAATTGAATAAAAGTGATCCATACTAAATAAATATTGGATAAAATTACAGAATCCGTAGTATTTTTTATTTATATGAAGTTTTTAATTTTTGAGTTGGTAACACAAAAAAGTTCGTTGAAGAAACATTAAAGCAAAAAAGTCTTCAATGCCCTTGACCTTAATCAGTCCATCATAAAATCTACCAAATGATAAAAACATTAATAAAACGAAATCAAAGTAATTTAACGAACATTTGATTGACTCGAAGATTTTATTACATTATTTATTTAACAAGCCATAATTATTCCATTATAGCTAATTTTGTTTGCGTCCAAAGACCAATAAAAATGTCGTACAAACATTGTAATAAATCGTTCATAATACGAAGTAAACAAAGCTATCGTTTTCCTGTTTTCCTTCATTTTGTGAATCCATAAAACAATATGTAAATACTGTATTACAATTTTGATAAGCACTTACTATTGTGAAGTGAACGAAGTCAATTCTGAGTTGCATGATGCCGGCGTGGGTTTTCTCAATGTGTATGGTGCAATTCTCTTCACCAGACCATAGTTCTGGGAAACGTGGTGACATGAAGTAGGTCAGGTTGTTCTGTACGGTGGCCCCACATGACACCTCGACTGAGGGAGAACGAATGGATGTTAATAAAGAATTATATGTTAGAAGAATTAACATATTAATGGATGGTAATCTGATCTGAACTGAGCTGAAGTGAATTTGAAATAAAATGTAGTAATATTTTCGGATTTACTACGCGTTTTTTAATTTTGATTTTAGACTACATACTCCCGACGTTTCGGTTACTTTTCAGCAATCGTGATCACAATAACGAGATGTGAATCGCAAAGTGTTTGATCTCATTATAAAATTGAATTGGTAATGATGACATGAAAAAAATTAACAAATATATTAGATGGTTACTTGATACTAGAAATCAAAATGGGTTTATAGTACTACATATAATAAGTATAATTTATACCAACAAAATGTGAGAATAAATACGACACAAGAATTATTGAAAAGTTTGAATAATGGTTATTAACTAAGCTAAATGCAACAATTTCATAAATATTTCTAGAAGCATAATTTGGAATAAAAACTAAACGCGAATGAACTTAAACTATATTTATACAAAATTCAATATTTTAATCCTTTTTTACAGACGAAGTACGAGTATAATGCTTTGAATTAAATAATACAAACTTATATTATACTTCCCAATATATACACATATATTTTTTTAAGTAAATCGGTATTTTTTTAACGAATATTATCCTTATATTTTAAAAATAAATGAAAGCAAATTAATTAAAAAGAAAATCATGTATATGTATCCACGGAAACGAGTAAAACATGAATCAACATTTGAAAGGTTTACCGCTAATACATATATCAATTTCGTTTATTTGTATCGTTACAGACGACGTTCATACATTATTAATTAAAATTCGCTTTTTACTTTGGCACGTGCGTGTACACTTGATAGCGTGTGCCGTTACATATAAGGCTGTGTCTACATGTGCAAGCGCATAACCAACACTATTATTTTAACTTAAACTCATTGACAAAAGATAAATAAAATGTACACTCAGCTTAATCTTTATAATTGATATTGATGTAAAAATGCTTAATTAAAATATTGTATGATTGTGAATATCATAATTTCTTGTAATTTCAACTCATAACCAACAATTACGTATCTCATTAAAGAACAGTAAACGATATTGCATGTCACATGCTAGTGACGAGACAACTTATACATAAGGAATATACATACATATATGTATATACATACGAGTATATACGATGTTTTTATACAAATTGCTTACATAAAGAGACATCAATCAATAACTTAAACAAGCCAAGCGTGTAAATTTCTCGGTAATATTAAGCCAAAATTATATACTTTTTAAAGATAAGAAAGAAAATTTTATAACATTAAGTTGAACATGACCTGAGACCTTAATAACAAAGAGAAACGAAAACTGTCATAAAGCGGTATGATTCTGGGTTTATTTGACAATTTCAACTTAATCACAATTATTTTTAGGAAAAATATCGCTACATTGTCGTGTATAAATTGCTAAGTGCCTATGCAATAACATAACTATAGTTCGATAGACAATCATTAAAAAATATAACTATAAAACTTTTTATATGCTGTCCTAATTAACCAATATATAAATAATTTTACGTTTATACTTGTAGATAGATACTATATGAACAAAAATTCAATATACTAAATTATTATATATGATACAGTGAACATAAAGTTCATTAAATTGTTGACTGATCTTGTATTGTGTGCTATGCTTTATTTGTTTTCTACTTACTAAGGCATTTGAATGAAGTGTAATTACAAAATATACAACTAAAAAGAAGTCATCCTAAATAAGTAGACGTTATACTAAAATATCAAGGAGATACTAACAAACACAGCAGACTCCGAGTCCATGAGCACAGTCTCCAGAGGCCTTGCCATCCCGCTGGCGACAGTCGTAAGGATTGAGACAAATGCCTGCTCCAGCGATGGTGAATGTAGACGGCTTGCATTCACGCTCGCCTCCCACTGGGAAGAAGTTCAGCACCTTGCCCAAAGAAAACAATCCTACTGAAACAAGGAATATTTGTCAAATTAATTAAACGTTATATTACTAAAACGAAATGAAACTAATATTTTCGGTTTATTACTCCTTATTTTATTAATAATGTCGACATATCGAATGCCATTCTCATCTCGTCTGAAAATGATTACGGTTGCTGCAAAGTAACCGAAACATCGTTAGTATTTAGTTTTAAAAATAATGAAATAACGCGGTGTAAATCGAGCATATTTATTTCATTTAAATGAATATTCGCGAAAGTCTTGAATCTCAATACTAAAACTATTCTGGTGACGCTAGTTTGAAAAGGATAGTATTAAATATGTTCAAAAGTAAGATGTTCATGTCGTTTGTCATTAATCAAGAGAAAACAGAATGTAATGTTGCTTTTAACTTTCATGTTCTGATGTTTTAGTGTTTTTAAATGATCCCGTCAAAGATTTCTGAAAGATGTTCCATTGTTCTTTGTTTTGTTCGACCTGAAATCGATAAGAATCAGAATAAATCCCACTTTATTTTCACGGTAAGCTATAAAAATGTCACTATTCAGAGATAGACATCCACCGTTTGTTGCCAAGTAAATGTTACAGAGATCTGAAGTGAAAACACATTTTATACAAGTACGTTTGTTCGAGAAACGTCTGCTTTGTATTTTAAATCTTTATCGAACAACATCCGAGACAATTCACTTATCTTATACCTACAATATTTATAGTAGTACTTTTTTGTACATATACAAATAATAAATAAGAAATTTGAATATGGAAATTTCTTATAACAACCTATAAGAAATCCAGTTTCAAATCCATTAATTTTTATTTACTTTTTAATTCTTTGAATTAAACAAAAAACAGAAAGAGTGATAGAGTGGTTACTGTATTGATAATAATTGCACAAAAATACATGTTGTGACAAGCAAATACTACCATCAAAGATGAGTCTTAAAGTTTGAATTAAAGATATAGTGTAAGAATAATGTAAGAACAATTTATTTTACTGACTCACCACCAATATGATGACTGATAAATATGATGAAAGTCTGAAGTAAGAAACAATATAAATATTGAGTTCCCAAAATTAACTTCAGTTTGACGTCATAAGGTACAAGTTTATTGACATAAAAAAGAGTTCTTTTAGAACATAAAAAAAACGATCTGTATATATATAATTGTTATATTAAACTGCCTTTGTTTTATATGTTAGTATTAAAGATTGACCTATGTACCTATGTATATGTATATTGTAAAATGTATTGACAATTTCAATCCTTATACAAGCTTGAAAATTCTTTATTTAACAAATGGTTTAGAACAGGGCACTTCTTGGAAAAACGAGGATTATGTCACATGCTATTATTATTATTATATACAAAAAAAAACCGTTCCCAAAAGCACTTTAAATTTCCGGCTATACCATTTTTATATCTAATTATTTTTAGATAAATGCTGAATCGTAAATCGTAATTTCTTTGATTCACGATACTTGAAAAAGTTTATTTAACTAACTGATAATGAATCTCGTTCGCAAAAAATCTACGTCCGTTATACACTTTCAAATTACAACAAAAAGTCTACAGATTATTAAAGCCAACGGATATTTGCAACTCATCCACATTTAGTGTTGTCTGAGCAAAAAATCAGCGTCAAATTTACAATGTGGAGTTCATACTTTAAACTTTGTCAATACTTCAACAATGTTTGTTTTATAAGCTACATTTAATTGAACAAGTTTATTTTATGCTTTCTACTTCTTACATAAACCTATTTAACATTACTGAATACAACTTTTTAATTACCTACCGAACAAAGTATGTTTATAAAAATCTTACTTCTTCGTAACCAGTCAACTACAAGTCCAAAAGTAGGAAGATTGACATTTTTTTATGACCCAAAGGCAAACGAACAGACGGCCTACACGATGGAAAGTAGTCACCGTTGCCCATGGACATCTGCAACATAAGGGGTTTTCCAGAGGCGTTGCGTATCTTGTTTGTGGTCAAACCACCTGAACACTTAATGTTTAAAAACATTGAGTTTCTACATTTTTGTCAAAGATACTCTGTCCAGTCAGGGGTATCCAATAATGACATTAAAAATAAATTATTTTTCAGAAACAATCTCTTATACATCGCAAGTAACTACATCGTTTATATAATAAAACCGTTTTCTTCTTGTAAAAATAGTTAGTCACTAAAAATTCATTGCTTTTAACAGTGGCGGCTGGTGGGTTATTGAACTGGTGGTTCACTTTACTAAAATATTGACAAAAACAACAATTGACATAAAATATGTTTATTTTTTGTACATTAATTCATAACTATATCCAACTCTGATACAAAGTCTATTAATCCACGAAACACTCCAGCATTACTGGACTCAATAGTTTCATCGTGACCTCGCAAAGCTAACTCAAATGCACCACAAAACTTGACACAATCGATAAGACGTGATAAAATGTATCTGTTTTTATCAACTTGTTTATTATACTTTTGGATATTACTTCTATACACAGAATCTAGCTGATTACGAATATCGACTGTGCCTAACACAGACAAACTCATTACATTTTGTAGGTGTATTTGTGAAGAATCGTGTTTTTTTATTTTTTCACTTAAATGCGTCAAATCCTTGATTCCAGTTTCTGTCCAAATCGATTCTCCGCCAAAAATAATGCAAGAAAAACAAAAGAATGCATTAAGACGCTCACATCCACACAACCATTTCTTTCTATTATACATTTCACTTTTAAAACTTCGTATAAATGCTTTATTTTTCGATTTACACTCTTATTTTAAATTTAAAATTGGCCCGGCCAATTTTATGTTCACTTTACTTTGAAATATTTTGTTATTTTCTTTAATATAATCAATATTTATACTCATTTTCAACTAATAAAAAACACAGTACAGAATAAAAGTTCTATTATAGAAACGAAATAAAAACTAAAACGAATTACGGAAATAATTATAAACAATAACGAATTAACGCGTCACGCATACAGTGAAAGTTGAAACAATACCAATAACGATTAACGAAATGTCAATCATAGCACCCATCCTTTCGGCCGGCCCCTTGCCGGCCGGCTCAATACGTCATACATCGGGTGCTCTCGGTAACCTTCGGCCGCTTCGTGCGGCGCTCGAGAACCGACTCGTTACTCGGTACATTTCTATGAACTATCTTTTGTCTCACGCGCCAGGCGTATTGATGCGTGTCTCATACAAGATGTATTAGCAGTCCTCGTGCACTCGCCGGAGCGCACGATATGAGTTTAGTAAAGCGCTCAAACTTTTTGACCACAATTGGAAATTAAATTTTTTATACCTTTTTGTATGTTTAAAAAATAAATATTAAAATGGTAATTTAAAAATTAAGATGACATAATATTTTGTAATTTTTAAATATTTTGAATTGGTGGTTCAGCGCACGGGCGCACTTAAGGTACAGCCGCCACTGGCTTTTAACCAATACTCATATACAAAATCGATGAAACGGATGATAAACCTCACTTGATATTTGTAAGTAGAGATAATTTTTTAAATTTCATAGAGATTTTTTACGAAAACAGACATTTTTCCTCTATAACATGATACTAGGTAAATTAGTTTACTATAAAAGTATGAGAGATTAATAATTCAGTTAAAAAAACAGTATGAGCAGTACTAACTAGATAATATAATAAATCACTTGTGGAGTGACAGTTGTATTGTGTTGGTTTTATTTTAGTTTATTTTGAACAAGTTTGAGGCCAGACGACTATTACTGCACTTTCTCTACTTTAACTTAAAAAGACAATAACAACAGTCTGACATTTCTCATGATATTTTAATATTTCGACAAATTAATATGTAAAAATCAAGTGTAAATGACAAGACTACTAATTAAAATGAGTTTTTAAGTCGGCAAATACAGTAAAGAGAAGTCTTAACAGGCGTATTACGTGTAACCATTACTAAGACGCACTGAAAATTTAAATATAATGCTTCCTCAAAAAAGGCGGAATGAAAATAAATTTCATGGGTGTAAGGTGAACATATATACGATATAATTTAATGTTCATGTTGTTGTCACGTTCGCCCACGTTTTAGTAAAACTGATGGGTCTTTCAACGTAATAAATTCAAAACAACCTGACATTTCCCGCGGCTTTCGTCCTTAATATAAAGTGGCACAACTTTTTCCTCCTTACTGTCTGATGTCATACGATTTGTAAATAACATTAGTATAGTGGGAGAAGCATTATGGTAATAAGCTGTTTATTCAAAGCAGATGTTACCCTTGATAAAGAACACGCGAGAAACAAAAGAATGCGGTAAGTACAGAGACTAAACACTTGTCTTTAGCTTTCATGATAACTATAGGAAGTAAATTAAAAGAGTTTAGTTAATTTTAAGTTAAAAATTAGTCGAAAATTATAGTAATGATATGTATGGTATCTGTAATTAAAACTCAAACTTAATATGACAAGTGAACCGTAATAAAATTGTATGAGAAAATCTCATAAAGTTTACGTGAGTTTATCTTTGTAAGCCTTGGTTTCAGTTGGCCTTTGTTGGCTCTGAACAATACGGCGTTTAAGCGACTTTTTTCATAACTAAAATATATACAGCCGTATAGCGAGAGATTTACTTTCATTAATGTATGTATTATTATATAATCTATCTTCTTTACATTACTATACGTGGTAAATTATTAAATGGCTAAATTCCCTTGAAATTATAGTTGATAATATAATGAAAACCGTCTAAAATAATAAGAAGACGAGACAATTATGCAAATTAAATGAAAATAACTTTGTTAATCTTACAATACAGGATATTGTTACAGATTTATTGTGTCAGTTCAAATATTACATGAATCTCCTTTATACGGCTTCGATTACAGAGGCTGTCCCCTCACAAATTACGGTGTAACAATTCTTACAAGTGCCTCTAGCTATAGAAATACAAACAAACTCACTTCTAAGAACACTCAATTTCAAAGATAAGTAATTCTATTGAAATTC